TTCCTTTCCGCGAGAAATAGAATCTTGAAGGAGGGAGACGATGGTCTGATCCCGTGTAGAATTTTGGGATAACAACGACATCGGTTAGGCACCTTCTATTTACTATGATGTGGCCTATTTCGGTATGGTACTCTGCATTGGGAGACTCCCACATCCAGCGCTGAGGGTGGGGCTTCTGAAATTGCGAGTTACCATAGATGATCTTCGTCGCCATGATAAGCTCATATAGCCGCTCACGCTGTTCGATCCATTCTAATCCGTGGGTCCCAATGTGACGTTCTTCAGACGTTCTTCTTAATCCAATCTTGGGGTTGAAATCACCAACGATGACCTTGGAGAATGTGTGGTCTTCTCTGTAAAACTTCTCCAAGTCCATATAGAACGCTTCGACTTCTTCTTCATCATATTTTGATGACATCGCGTAAATGATGAGGATTGTCAAAACCAGAATTGATCCACGTCTTCTTAATCGTAAACGTCCAATTCGGGTTGTAAGCTGTTCATGAATCAGTGTTCATGGACAAACTCGTGTTGATGAGAACGCCTCCACCGCCGACGCACTGTCGCATGTTCCAAGGAACAGTGATTTTGTTCGTATTTTTTTGAGCAAACGCGAGGTGTTATTGTTCTTTGTTCACGATTAAGCTGACGTTTCGGCGAATTTCGCCTTCTTCAGAGCCTGGAAAGGTCAAGTTGATAGCAACTCACTCGGCCAGACGCCTCCATAACCAAACAAAGAAACCCCAAACCAAGATTTCAATCACTTTGAACACAGCTTTGCACACTTACCGCTTTCTACGAGGTCTCCACTAAGTACGTCACGTAGAGACCAACCGCACAGAAATCACGTGGAAGTATAATGTGCCCCTCACATCAGAAAAGCAGTTTTATATACTGCCCTATATCACGCGTGATAATGAGGCATTCTTCCCTGCGGTTCATTTTCGGATTTCTGGAATTAATCCAGAGTGCCTCGAGGGTTTTTCGCGCCTGTGTTCTCGATTCGCGTGCGAGGATCGTGACACATACTTCGAAGTCGTCCCCGCTATGTCTCTGGGTCCTATGCGTGCTTAGCGGGGTATTTGGTCTATTTTTGCAGGCTAGGTGTTCTTTCATGCGGACACAGAGGGGTCTACCCGTTTCGCCAATGTATTCGATACCACACGTCTTACAGGAGATCAGATAAACTATACTCGAGCTCATGCAATCACCGTCTCTACCACTGGGGCAAATTATGCAATTTTGAGTTGCACATAGACGGTCATATAGGCGGTTACGAACGTACTACAAATTCACCTATCAGAAAATGGCTACATTACAAAGTGGTACCGAAAGCCAAGTAGTGAAAACATTTTGGTTCGTTACCTCTCCTCTCACCTCTCTCACACGAAAATGGCGCTTATAGGAAACATGTTTCGAACAGCAACCAACGTGTGCACGAGAAGAGAGCAGAGAGAGGAGTCCCGGAACTTGGCACGGCAAATAGCCGTTTCTAATGGCTACGAAACTGTAGCTCAGAATAGGTGTAGAGGAAATCGTAGGCCTCCAAACGACATCTCTAGCGATAGAAGGGTTCCGTTTATCCTACTCTTCATCTCANGAAACATGTTTCGAACAGCAACCAACGTGTGCACGAGAAGAGAGCAGAGAGAGGAGTCCCGGAACTTGGCACGGCAAATAGCCGTTTCTAATGGCTACGAAACTGTAGCTCAGAATAGGTGTAGAGGAAATCGTAGGCCTCCAAACGACATCTCTAGCGATAGAAGGGTTCCGTTTATCCTACTCTTCATCTCAAATGGTATAAGTACAGCTATAAAACGCTGCGTAAGAAGAGCGGGCTTAGAGAATTCGGTGAGCGTAGTTGAAATACCACCGAGTAATCTTAAGCGCCAGCTAGTTCGTAAC